ATATTGATTTTTGGTATTTATTCAAGACAACAAAGAGCCTAAGATGATGTTTTCACATCATCTTCTTGTTTCATATATAAACTAAAACTGCCTGTTAAATAAATTTCAAGATAGGGGCTGGGGATTTACCTCAGAGGTTCCACCACCTGCCTTACAAGTGCAAGAACCCAAGTTCGATGCCCAGTACCATTAAAAAAAATTTTTTTTCAAGATAAAAGAAACAAGAAAACAGCTTCAAAACTTGAAAAGAATGAAGAACAACATGAGGAATGTGACCATTATGTACTACAAATGTGTACTAATTTTTAAAAAATAGTAAAAAAAGAAAAGAAAGAACATAAGACTCTAGCTCTCAAATTAGTGTCTTCTTTAAACATAATTTTCTAAAGACTTATGGAACAATGTCCAGAAAACCTAAAAATATATTCCCAGTGTTGAAATATTATTATATTTGTAAAATTTCTTTTAAGTGAAATATATTCAAGATCCTCTTAATCACGTTTTGTTTGCATGACTCTCCCAATGTTCTGCTTTCAAAGACAACACGAAATATCTAAGAAAGGGCTGGGGATTTGGCTCAGTGGTTCTGCTGCCTGCTTCAGAAGCACAAGGGTCTGAGTTCAACCCCCAGTGCCAAAAAAAATCTAAGAAAAAACAATGGGCAGATTATACACTTTAAAAAGTATTATTTTCTGAAAATAGATTGTCTACAAATGACCAACAAAATTCAGACTAAATGCCTGGCAGAAAAAAAAACTGAGAAACACCAGCCCAAGAAATTTCTTAGACAATATAATCTATAAAAAATTTTGATGGAACTGGTAGACAGTAGATATGGGTTATATTACTGCTATCACCAACAGTAATTTAGTTTACCTTCCTGTTACTTAGACTATGTAAAATATAATCAATATCTCCTTTTCATGAATATTGTGAAGGTTATATGATGTCATGTAAAAGCACATTATAAAATGTAACAGAAACACAAGTGTAAAGTACAATTATATTCAAATACAACCTGTATACCTACAGACAAAATCATTTGGAGCATTTAACTAGATGTCAGAATGAACTAGTTATATGGTTAAGGCTATTTTTAACATTAGCAAGTGCCTTGGTTGTCCCATACTACAACCACACACAAGCACACACTCAGAAGAATGTCTTATAGTTACCAAGTATTTGTTCTTAATTACAGTTTTATATACGTTAGAAGATATCTCTTAATGGTAGCACTCTCTGTTCTAGTCATAGACTATCAGCTCAATACAATAACTTATTTTAAATCATAACTAAAGGTTTTCTCCCCCAGCCATTGGAAACTTCATTTAAACCCCTGCATTGCTTTGTGGTATAAGCTATCTATCATTGTAGAAAGATTAGTCTAAATTGACAAAGACACAGAGAGAAATCCCATACTGTACAACTTTGTAAGTATTAACTATGCCTTTGATATTTGTCAGTCTTTTCATTCATGCCTCAAGTTACCCTAGCAGCAATAAAAACAGAATGATTTTCAAAATTCTCATTTTCCACCTTTTCAAAAGAAAACTTGTCTTACCACAATGAAACTAAAAGAAAAGCATAACTTTATGTCAGTGTCTCTTATTCTCTCTCTGGAGGGGTTGCTTCTTACTCCCTGTATCCTGCCAGCCAATCCCTACCACCAAAGAGGAAACTCATTTGAGATTAACATTTTCAAATACACTTTGTAAAACATGAACTAAGAGTTGTTCATTACTGACTGCGGTCAACGGCTCCCAGTATTTCTAATTGTTTTCTGTACAGTGTTTCCTTACCAAGCCAGAAACCATGAGAAGGATGCCAAAGAACAGAGACCAAGGAAGAGACCACGGATCCATGTTGTAGCGTCTGGTTGGAAGTTGTAAACTATGACATTCAGAGCAGAGTTGATTTTTTAAAAGGCCAACATCATAACGTACAGCCTTTTTTATCTCAATGATCCACTTTGCAGGTCAGTGCTCTACTGTAGCAACCTTCAATTGAGGAGTTAAAGTCCACTCCTCCCTACACACCTTTCTGGTGTTTGTTTGCTTTTTCCCTGTGCCAACATCCAATAGCTAAGTGCCTGGGTAAGACCTGTTAAGGAAATACATTCCCTGATGTATATCGTCAAGTCCCTAAGACTCCAAAATGCCATTTGAGAAAAAGAAACTACCAAACTATTTTTTATTCTTATTTACGAAGCTCCTCCTGCCCAGATAGCCCTCGGCTGTGTTCTCATGTCCAGTTATGCCTATTGCTTTTTATTATTCATTCAGTTAATAAAAACTTACTAAGTGCCTGCAATGTATTGAGTTATAAAATTTATGAATGTGCCTAGAAATAGGCGCATATGATATTCAAATGTAAAGTAGCAAAATAGTGACATGTCTCACTCCTGAAATTTTTCATCAAATAATGCAAATGGGAGTTAGGATAAAATGAGTAGTAATGAATGGTCACTGGTTTTCTAACAAAATAATATTCCCAATCCATTTCTTCATTCTTTCTTTTTCCTTTTCTTCTTGGAATAATTTCTTTATAGAAACAATATACTTTTAGTTCCCATGGCTTTACCTACCCGACATATAGAATAGTAACTTTGAAATGCTATTTTCTCTCCACAGTTTTTCCTTCCCCCTCTCTAACTTGGTCCTCCCTCCATTCTGTGCTAATAGAAAGGATATGAAAAGGCATTCAGCATAGACAGAGGATCTGGAAGGGTGCTTTCTAAATACAAGCAAGTCATCCCTCTCCTCTGAGGGTAGGGCAAAGGCTAAGAGGCAAATCTGCAATGGTAGGCATTGATCAGCCCTTATTTGCCCTGGACAGTTGTAGATTTCAAAACCAAATGGACTTGTTCCGTAGCTAGAGTCACTAAGAAGTAACATGACCCTACAAAAGAAAGCGCGTCTTAGGGGGAGGAGAATAGTTCCTAGGAGACCAAACCGGCACAGATGTACTAGAGAGAGTCACCAGGCCAGAAAGGGATAAAGACGTCTCCATAACAAGCAGCACAGGGTGACTAAGGACCAGCCTGTCACTGGCAGCTGTCACTATGTAGCTGGTGATGACTGATCTACGGTGGCCTGTCATAACCACTCCAAACCCCACAACCTCAAAAGAATACCAACATCTTGGGAAAAGCATGTGGACAGAGAGCCAAAACTATTTTATCAGACACCACGTGAGAGCTCAGCATGGTGGAGCCACCTGGAAGTGACAATCTGTGGACCACTTCCCAGAATGACAGTGGTGGGGCTGGCAAGTCCCGTCCCTACATTCACTGGATCCTATGTGTACTGAGCTGTAGCTGTGGTTTATCTTTGCTGGGCAACCTCTAGGAAATATGCAGGGAATTACTTCCCTCGTATGATTCTTAAAGATTAATCTCGATCAATACATTTATTCTGAAATGAGCCTGAGTAAATTTTGTTGCAACTAGCCTGAGAAGGCTGTGATGACAGGTGATATTGGGGGTCAGATGGGGCTCTCCAAATTGCTTAGGACTTTAAGTTAAGGTGAAGAGTCAAAATGATTTACCCGAGCCAGGGATTTAGCTCAGTGCTTCTGCCACCTGCCTTGCAAGTGCAAGGTCCTGAGTTTGATCCCTGGTACAAAAAAAAAAAAAAAAAAAAAAAAAATTACCCCGAATATATGGATGGTCCTAAAATAATAATACTGTTACAGAAAAGTACAAACACTCCTGCACATGTTTCTGTGAGCTGAGAATTGAAGCCCAACTGCATGGCATACGTGGGGTCGGGAAACTCTCTTTGGAGGTTAGGGAAAGTAGAAATAGGAAAAGTAAGAAGCAACAATTCCTAGGATGTTGGAGTCTATTTTAAAGTCTATAGCACGTGGACAGAGCTTCACTAGGAATCTCGCGGAAGGTCTGACTCTAAGAAATGTGTTTGCTAGAATGAAAGGCTGTGTTTCGCATGTCATCATTTTCTGGAGCTGGAAGTGAAACTCTCCTGCAGAAACCGCGCTTGACGGGCCTCACACACCTCCGGCATCACCATCCGGCTGCCGGGAAGCCTTCATACACTTCATCGCGGCATGTGGAGTTCGATCCCAGAAAACGGTCTCGGCCTGTGCTTGTGGGCGCCCTGTGCTCTTCGTTTCTCCCCCGGCAATGTCGTCAACGGAAAGCCCCTCACCCGACGTGATCGGGCTTGCACACTGTGTGGAAGTTCGCTGGGACCATCAGAAAAGCATGTCTCCGGGATGGGATTCTATTCCAGACCTCAGGAGAGCAGACCGTGGATGGAAACATTTTCTAACAGAAACAGTCCAGAGATGGCTGCGAAGATCCAAGGACTTCAGGTCGTTATTCTCAGAGTGCTCATTTTTTAAACCTGATTCTCCCTCACAGAAAAAACAAACAAAACATAAGTAAAAGTTTGTTTCCCAACACTAGCTCTTTATGAAATCTTTTTTTTTTCAGGGGGTACAAGGACCTTGCAATTGTGAGGCAGGCAGTGGCACCACTGAGCTGAATCCCAAGCCCTCTTGCCGTCTTTATGAAATCTTATAAACACTTCTATAACATATTGAAATGTACATATTGAACTTAAATGAAACTAAATGGATATAGGAAAAAGGAAATTGATGAATGTGGAGTGAGCAGAGTCACCATGGGCAGCTGGGAGAACACAAATGCTCACCCCACTGAAAGACAAAAGAGCTCAAAGGACACCTGCCCAAGTCATCTGCATTGCCTGGCAGTGAGCAGAATAAATCACATTTTTTACATAGATATTTTAAATCCTTTACCCAAAGTACTATCTTTCATCCCACTTTTCAAAATAGTTTCCACAAAAACAGAACGAGTAAGATGTGTATATAGATTAGAAATTTAAGCACTTGGCTCATGTGATTATGGAACTTGGCAGGGGTTGGCCAGAAAGCTGGAGACCCAGATAGGAGTTGAAGGTACAGCCTGAGCACGAACACCGCTGAAATACTTCTTCTTCTCCGGTCTTCTGTCCTTTTTCTCTTCAGGCTTTCAGCTGATTGCGTGAGGCTCATCCATGTTACAGAGATGATCTGTTTTATTCAAAGTCTACAAAATTAAGCACAAGTCTCATCTTCTACAAAACACCTTCATGATAACATTAGACCAGTGTCTGACAGATATCTGGGTACAATAACTTAGTCAAGTTGATATATAAAATTAACCATCACAGTTACTTATTTTTTACTCCTCTCTTATTTTCCAAACTCTTCAAGATGATGTGTTTAAGAGGTAGCTGCGGGTCACACTACCCGTCATTGTCCCCTAAAGCAACTGGCTTAACTGCCCACCATACCGCAGGCTGAAGGCAAACATGTTATCTCTTACAGTCAGGATAACCACAGAGCACTCACATCTTTGGTGCTTATAAATATCATAAAATATATTTATAACTTGATAAATATATCAAATTACATTTGATAGAAGGATAGGGGACAGTGAGAAGCTCTGTCCCTGGGTAAGATTCCCACACTACAGTTTCCTGGACTGATTTTATACAGGGAGCTCTTCTGCTGGGCGCCATCCCACAAAAGAACAGTGGGGTGAAAACTCACTGCAGTTTGACCTTCTGCCTACTGCTAGAAAGGGATCAGCAGGTGGCTCATAACCTTTGACAAGCGCAATCCAGCTCGGTGGGCACCTGCTCTTATGCATTTACTCCAAGCGGGGACAGTTCTAGCAGAAGCATCACCTGATTCTGTGATAGAAATAGTGATACTGACGGCCGCTCAAAAGTTCATGGCTGGATGTCTATGGGACGGTTACAGGGGTTTGACTCCTTCAAATCCTGTTTCTGGTCACCGTCACTGTACTTGAGGCCTGCAAACATGTGGAAGAAGGGATTCATCACTCCTTGTTTTGATTGCATTTATGTATGGCATTCATTACCCAGTTTTGCATTTGTTTTTTTACACATCTGCCTCTCTCTAGTAAGTAGCAACCCAGCACATTGAAATTTGGGATTCCAGTTGGTGGCATGTGGAAAGTGTTTGGCAAATATTTGCTGAAAGAAATGAGAATGAACTTTTGAAAAACACTGTCTATCTGTGAATTGTCTTCATAGCCTCCCTTATCTCTGCCGGATATGAAAGTCAACAGTCAGTAAGATCACATATTGTTGTCCTGTGTGTTTTTGTCCAGAAAGAACTTGCACTTCTCACTGGGAAGTAACACAAGGCTTTGTTGCAATGTATTGTTATGGGCTTCCTATATGTACACATCACCACTTGAGGATTTCTTTGGGCTGAATCAGACTTAAGTCCAAAATCAACAAAGAGTGCTTCTTGGGGGTGGGATTGAGTGTGCCCAACAATAAGGTAATCTTTTAAAAAGTTACTCATGAAGCTTCAAGTTTCCCATCCAGTGTTTAAGAAGTCAGCAGTCTGTTTTAATAAGTGAAAAACTGAACAAACTGAAAAAATCACCTGCTCTTCTTAGATCCATAAGAGAAATGTATTATAGGACAAGCTCTTGCCCCTAAATTTGGAGAGGCCCACAGGTCAACACAGAATCACAAGAGAGCAGAAACCACTGGCAAGGAACCAGCACAGGGCTTGGGAAATCTGTAACATAACTGCCAGATTGCTGGAGGGTGGGTGTGGGCAAGTCTGAATGATGCAATCTCCAAGGGAACCAGGCAGCATCCCAGCAGGAGGCGCATTTTTGTGAGTTTTGCCTCCATCCGCTCTATCAGGTTCCCATAGTGAAAATCCTCTCGTGATTCCTGCAGGGGAGGAGAAAATCATTCTGAAAACACCAGAGTTCATGTTCCTCTTAACAAGGTCCGCCTTCAGGAAAAACTACTTCACCAGAGTCTAAACTGCTAGAGAACGTAACTGGCCTGAAGGAAGGAAAAGCGCCCCTCCAGCAGGCTCTAGCCTCCCTCACAGAGCAGCGGAAATACTATCTCCTGTCACACTACCATCCTGGCTCACCCAGGGGACAGAGTGTGAAGAGTGAGAAGCACATATGGACTTCACAGCCCAGAGGTACAGGTCACCGAAGGAGTGATGAATAAGCATGGGGCGATAAATGCTGCGCCTCCCCTCCCACCTTACCACCACCACACACCTCTGACCCCGTACACTTATATCCAGCTACCCCCAAAAAATTACAAGGTACCCTAAAATCAAGAAAACAGTATGAAGAAACAGAGCTGATGTCAGAATCAGATTTGGATAGGATGGGGATATTGGAATTATCAAACCAGGAATTTAAAACAGGTTTATGAGAATGAACCTCAGCAGCAAAGTCCACGTTTAGCATGCATGAAGCCCTGGGTTTGAACCCAGTACCACTAAATGAATAAGTGAAACAACTATGATTTTTATGGTACTCGGATAAAATAAACATAATGCAAGGATAGGTGGGTGATGCAAGCAGATAGGTAGAAATTCTAAGAAGGAACCAAAAAGAAATGCTAGTGATGAAAAATACTGTGACAGAAGCGAAGAATGCCTTTGATGGTCTTATTAGTAAACTGGACACAGCTAAGGAGAGGCTCTGAGCTTGAGAATATCTCAGTAGAAACCTCCCTCCAAAACAAGAAAAGAAACTAGAGCAGAATATTCAAAGATTGTGGGACAAATACAAAAAGCGTAACTTACACATCATGGAAATACTAGAAGCAAAGAAAAATAAGAAAAGAAATATTTGAAGCAGTGTCTAAAAATTTCTCCAAAACTATATGTAAAAACAAAATCAAAGATCTAGGAAGTTTAGATTAGAGAATACCAAGCAGAGTAAATGTCAAAAATCTACACCCAGGTTCATCTATTTCAAGCCCCAAAAAAGAAAAGATAAAGAAATGATCCTGAAAGAAGATACTGCATAGGGGAAAACACCTTCACTATAAAGGAATAAAGATAAGAATCACCACCTGGTTCCGATGAGTTCACTGACCAGCTCTACTGAACATTTAAGGAAAAAATTATACCAATTCTATATCATCCCTTTCAGAAGATAGAAGCAGAGGGAATGCTTCCTAATTTGTTATATGAGGCCAACAGTACCCCAAGCAAATAAAAGCATTATTAAAAAATACTATAAACCAGTATCTCTCAAAACATAAATGCAAAAATCCTTAACAAAATATTACCAAATCAAATCCAACTATGCATAAAAAGAATTATGCACCATGGCCAAGTGGAATTTATCTAAAATTAGCAAGGCTGATCAACATTTTGTTTAAAAATACTCTTTTGGGCCGGGGATTTGGCTCAGTGTTTCCACTGCCAGCCTCGCAAGCACAAGGGCCTGAGTTCGATCCCTGGTACAAAAAAAAACAAACCCAAAAAGAAATCTGAAAAAAAAAAAGACAAAAAACACTCTTTAAAAGCTCTTAACACTTAAGCCAGTATATGGTCACTCACTCAGGAGGTTGAGGCAGGTGGATCACCATTCAAGGCTAGCCTGGGCTACATAACAGCCTATCAAGACCCTGTCTCAAAACAAAACAAAACATAAAAACTGGTTAGAATGTGAAGCAACAGGAACCCTCCTTCAGCGCCCATGGGCATGCGGAAATGTTAGAGTCATTTTGGAAGACAGGTTCTTACAAAGCAAACAGACCTTTACCATACAATGCAGCCACCTTCCCCTTAATATTTACCTAAGGGAGGGGGAAACTTTCAGCCACACAAAATACCTGCACTAAAGTGTTTACCAGCTTGCTTCACAACTGCTGCGACTTAGAAGGGAGCGACTTACTCTTCAGTGAGAGAAGGCAAATACATTGTGGATCCTCCAGACCTCAGATGATTTAGTGCTGAAGCAGACGAGCTACAAAGCCACAAAAAACCATGAAGAAATGATTAAAAACATTTTACTAACTGAAAGAAGCCAATCTGTACAGGGTTATACCCTGTGTGAGTCCAACATTCTCCAGAAGGCAAAACTATGACGGACAATGGAAAGGCCCGAGGTTGGCCAGGTTTAGGGGTGCTGGAGAGAACTCTCAGGATAGGGAACTCTTCTCTGCCCTGCAGAGTGAACACACACTCGTCAGAACCTGAACAATGTACGACACCGAAATGAACCTAATGTGAACCATGAACTCTGGGTGATAACGCTGTATCTAGGTAGGTTCCTCAGCTGGAACAAATGGACCAGTCTGTGGGGGATGCCAACAGGGGAGGCTGTACACCTGTGGGTACAGGGGAGTTATAGGAAATCTCTGTACTTTTCGCTCTATTTTGTCACAAACCTTGAAATGCTCTGAAAGTAAAGTCTGACAAAAACAATTTTAATTGACGGAAGCTATTCATCGATATTTGAACAAAAACATGTAAGTCCAGAAGATAGGTGGGTACTTGGGTCAACTAAGGTGATGCAGTCATAGGCTCCTTAGAGGCAAACACCAAGATTCAGTTAACCCAGCACTTAAGAGGCTGAGGCAGGAGGATCACCACAAGTTGGAGGCCAGACGGGGCTACCTAATGAGCTCAAGGCCAGCCTGAACTTCATAATGAGACCCTGTCTCAAAAAACAAACAAACAAAAATAGATCAAGTTTGCCAGCTAGCAGGCAGCACATTGTATACACCCAGCACTACCCAGCATCTTGCGTCTTTTCTCCTGCTGCTGACGTTTGTTTTGTTTTACAGCGTGTGCCTTCTGAGGACAGTCACCTAGACCTACTGGGACGACAAGCACATTCCAATGTATGTGTAAACAACATTATCTGCAGGGCAGAAACAAAGACAACACAGTCACACGCATAGGACAATTCTAGGCTGTTGCCAGGGGAAATGAACTTCACTCTTCTACAATGGATACCTAACGTGGCATTGTTAAAGCCGAAGCTATATCCACGCGGAGAAAATGTGCTGGATGGAAGCAAAGGAAATTTGAGAGAAGCAGTCTTGCTCCTGCTCTCTCAGCTCTACTTCTCCACTCACAGTGACACTCGGCCTGGACCACTTTCACCAAAACTTAAAGAGCAGGCTGAATGTGCGGTTCGGTTCTCTGCAATCCAAGTGAGCAGACCACCCCTCCTACACGGTCTGTGGTGACTGTCCCTTCCTGTCATATTTCCATTCCTCTGCTGTTGTCACAGCTGAGAGCAGCAGTTCCCAGACTGCCCTGTCTTGAGAACACTTTTCATTCTGAAAAATAACTAAGTACCCTAAAGACATTGTAACTTGAGTTAATTTTTTGAGTTAAGTGTTAGTATCAGTCTATAATCAATACTGACCTTATTAGAAATTAAAACAATTTAGATATTTATTATTCATTAAAAGTAGCAATTATATGTCTTATGTGGTTTTTCCCACCACCCCCTACCAGGGATCGAACTCAGGACCTTGCCACTTGGGAGGCAGGTGCAGTACCACCAAGTTAAACCCTCGGCCCTCTCTTATGTGTTTTATATGGTTTTTGGCTTGTTAATCTGGCTGTTGATCTGTGTTTATGATAATTAACTTGATAAGGACTTATGAAAATAAATCAATGAATCTGATGTTGGCAAAAAGTGCTATAAAAAGGGGGGTATAGAAGAAGGGGGAAGGAAGTGAGATGTATTACATACATGTACCAGTTCCCCACAATGAATGTAATTATTATGTACTGTAAGCAAGTGCTAATAAAAATTTAAAATAGCAATTATAAACCCATTATATATTACCATAAATAAAATATGTTCATAAAAAGTAAAGAGTATGTTTGAAAATAATAAGAATTGCATTGTCTTCTGGGTATGGTGACACACACCTATAATCCCAGCACCTGGAAGGCTGAGACAGGAGGATTGCCAAAAGTTCAAGGCCAGCCTGGGCTACATGGTAAAATTCTGCCTCAAAAAAAAAAATATATATTGTGCCT